AAGCCTGTTGCCTCACACATACCTAATATGATGAAGCCACTCGTTTTTATGATTTTCCATTCAAAATGAAGGGAGAGACAATGATTAGCTAAGAGAACTCAGAGTTCATCTGTCAATATATAGGAGATATGGCAATTAAAAGAGACAACCGCTTCTCACACACAACAAATGCAATATAAATATAAAATTACTAACATGGGATACTTGCAAGGATAGCAGTAAAATCAACTAGGAAATATAGTTCATAAAAACAAAAGAGAAAGTAACTGGAAAAAATGTATAACTGCTTCTCTTCTTGAAATGTGTTAATAAAATATACTCTTTCGCTTCTAGTGGAAAAAATGTGGAAACCAAATTCTGAACTCAATTGTAGCATAAAAAATGTCTGTGAGAGACCAACTCCCATCTCTATCTTAAATGTGTTGACTTCATCACTCTTTTCAAATGCATACTCTTTAGAATCATAGAAATCACTGGGTTAAAATTATTATCAGATGGGTCATTTAGTCTCTATGTAAGCTGGAGAAATATCTCACCATCCCAGGAAAGAACTAGTGTCATGCCTGAGTCTATTGCAGTCCTCTGCCTCTGGGCACAATTTATTGTTAACACACAAAACTTGTACACTAAAACAAAGCAATTTCCCTGACCAACACAGGATGCAGTCCCCAGACACTTTTCCCTTGCCTCTCGCAGTCCTCAGAAAAAGGATGTACCTTTTCCTTGAACAGCTGGTTTAGACAAGTAGACAAGTAGTCTTTGTTCCTTTCCCGCCACATTTTCAGACCTGATGTCATTATCATTATTCCTGATTGAGATGGATCAAATCTAGTAGAATCACTAACAGCAATTCCACCTACTCCGTTGGCATTTTCTCCCATTAGCTAAGCTATTTTTATACTTAACAAAAAGTGAATATGTGAAAAATTATGTTCTATTTATGTAAATCATTACACTGCTCTATAGCCAAAATGCTTCTGAAATAAATGTAGTCAAACTTTACTAATTCTGGGTCACTGAGAATGAAAATGATGCTTAAAATTGTTGATTGGCTCTAGTTTTCAAGATATGCTATTGGGTCAGTATATACGACCCTTGACTTGCGAATGGCGGAGGATAAGTGAGTTATAAAGGGAAGGGATCTCAATTTAAACCAGAAATGACTAAAATACATCTTTGACTGGATCTATGAATAAATCTATGACTGGGTTTGGACAGTACTTGCTTTTTAGGCAAAACAATGAATGATGCAATCTGAAGCTGGTATTGCGTCATACAGGATATGAATTGCATCATGTTATTCCTAGAAGTCATGGATGGAACACTTTATCTCTGAAGCAGACGACTTCTAAAAAATTGTAGACCAGTGTTATGTAATGTGTCCCATACAAAGTTTTTTATGTGGAAATGCAAAGGTTAATGGCAGGAATTTTTGTCCACCAAAGCTGATGATTGTATATATTTTGGTTAGTCTCTAAGATGCCACAGAGACTACTTGCTGTTTTCAGAGAGCCGACTGCAACTCACTGGGGGGGAATAGGAAGGAAGTTGTTTCACCTCTTCTCTGGTATGTCAGCATTGCAGCTAGGAGGTTCCCAGCACAGGTAGACAGATTTATGCTAGCTCAGCTCAGACGAGTGCTCTAGAGTAGACCTTACAGCATGGGCAGCCTGACCTTGGACGCGGAGGGTCAGGCAGGTTCAGGCTCAGACTCAGGTGGCTAGCCTGGGCTGCTACCTACACAACAAGATCTAGTTGGTGTGCTAGTTGGAGCCAACATGAGTCGGCCTACTCGTACTGGGGATCATGCCATCCAGCTGCAGTATAAACATACCCTTCTAGTGACACAGGATGAAACTTCTGGTCCTGAACCATCAATGTCACAGGACCCACATTTTCTCCCATCCTCCTCCTCTGAACCACGCCTCATAACACAAAGTGTTATGCACTGAGTGGCAAGGAAAAGACGGCATGGAAAGCCTTCCAGTTAGTGGCCATAAATTTTCTCAGAAACAACAAGGCAGACAGACAACTACAGGTTGTTGGTGGAAAACCTCCTCAAGGCATACAAAAGCCTCGGTTGAAACATGTCACTAAAGATACATTTTTTGCACTCTCATCTAGATTTTTTCCATCGAACTGCGGAGCAGTGAGCGACGAGCATGGCGAGCAATTTCACCAGGACATTGCAACAATGGAGAAACGCTATCAGGGCAAATGGAGCCCATCAATGCTTGCAGACTATTGCTGGACAGTGACAAGAGATGCTCCATTTAATGAATACAAGAGACAAGCCAAGAAGCGCCAAGTAGATATTGAATAGGACTAAACTATGTACATAATAGTTTTTTGCCTTTTGTTTCATAATAAATTTTATTTATATAACCCTTTTGCTGATTTTTAAAGTGTTACATAAACAGGACAGGTGAAATATTATCATGTAAAGCAACCATAAACACATGAAAAGACCTATGTTTACAATTTATGATTAAAACTCTACTATCTACACAATATGCCTAGACGCAAAATGTAAAAT